TTATGGTCAACAAATTTTTTTTTTAATCCTAATTGTCTCTAATTGTAAAGCTAACTACAAGGGGTGGAATTGAAAATGCTAGAAAGAAGACTTACCCGAAAGCAAATCTTCAAATCCAAGTTCTTCAATCCGCGATCTTCAAGCTCCAAGCGTTTCCTTCACAATAAACACAAAAGTTAAAGAACCAAAATAATTAAAACCTACTTAAGCACCTTCCCCGGCAATGACGCTAAAAACTTGATGCGGCATAAACATGTACCAAAAAGGTTGCAAGTGCACAACCGTGTCAAGTTATAGTATAAAGATATCGATCCCACGAGGAAGGTGTTTTTGTAGGAGAAAATATAAAATCGGTTCTTATGTTGTGTGCGTGACAAATAGGAGTCATGAGTGAATGTGATTATAGAGAGATAATGAGAGTGATAGTGTGTAGATCAATGTGTTTGAGAATAAATATGATCAATAAGGCAAGAAAGAAGAATGAATAAAATTGAGAAACAAATCAAAAATAAAATTCAAGAATAAAAGAAAATGCAAGAAATTAAAGATGGTGGATTCAATTATAGATATGGGTAATCTAAAATTGAACCCACTTATTAGAAAATGATGATTCCCTAGAGGGTTCTAGCCTAAAGGCGAATCAAACAAAATAAAAATAAACAAAAAGAAAAACTAAACCTAAGAGGGTTCTAGCCTCAAGGTGAATAGTGTAAGAAATTAAAATCTAACTATAAAATAAATTTCAAAATCTAAACTACAAAATAAATTATAAGAATTAAATGTAAGAAAATAAATCTACTCTATAAGCATGAAATAAATCTAAGGCAAGAGGGTTCTAGCCTCTTGGCTATTTAACAAGAAAATAAAATCTAACTATAAGCATAGAAATAAATCTAAACTAATAAACAATAAAAAAGAAATAAAAGAGAAAAAGAAAAGAAACGCAAACCTCTAAACAATTCTTCATCTCCATCTTCATCATCCAACAAAGAGAAGAAATATTTAAAGTGGTGAAAAATTATTATTATTAATTGTAACAAAAAGTTATAAATTTGGAAGACCTTCTCAATTAAGAGTAGCCCTCCTCTCCAAAAGGAGTTACAAAAATTTTTACCCTCCTAACCCCTCACTCTCTACCCTTATTTATAGTAAACATCAATGAATGTGAGCATTTGGATTGAAATCTTATCCAAAACCATCAAAAATCAGCCCTTAGTTCGTAACAGAATTGTCAATATCGATGCCAGCATCGATACTGGCATCGATGCCTGCATTGATGCCAGCATCGATGCTGGTATCGATGCCCTATCAAAATTTTGCTTTTACGGATGGCTTTGTCTCGTCGAGATAGGCGATTTTCATATATTATATGTTAAATTACGCCTTCCGGATTGAGAGATATCGTCGTTTCTTTACGGCCAACCATATTAAATACATTTTTTTCATATTTGATTTTTTTATTTTCTCCGGCTTCTACAGGCTACTCGGCTTGATTCTGGGCTTTGGCTTTTTGGCTCTTGCTTGTGTTCTTTATTTAATTCATGGGTTTTTGTCGAGAGATGAGATTTTGAGCTTTATTCTTCATTAACATGTAATTAAAGATAAAAATAATTATTAGTGGTATATTTATTTATATAAAATAGATAATGAGGGTATAAAATTGTAATAAAATATGATTATCAATGCCTTCTTATTTCAAATATTGAGGAAAAAAGATCAAATTTAGAAAAACTGTTACAAAAACTGTTATATATAAAGTTTTGAGTTTGTAACACTATATACAATGATTAATTTACAAGAATCTATCCACTATTTCCATGAAGGTTCCAATACCATCTACCTTGTTGTAGTTTTGATCACATGCAACTAGCACGTATAAATTGCTGAAAGGGCCTGAAAGATAAGAATGTACTTATATCACTGTAATCTCTCGAACATCTAAGGTTTACTACCGATGATAGCTTGGTGTTGAAATCATTATTTATAAAGGAATTCCAACATGCTGCTGGGATATTCATAATTATATTGTATTTTTTAAAATATTTGTCAATAGGTTGTTAAAGATGTCAAGCAGAAGTAAATCGAAGGGTTCTTCCCAATCGAAAACTAAGGCTACTAAGTAAGTAAATTTTAATTTATCTGAAATTATTGTTATCTCATAAATTTTAATAATTTCTTATGTTTTTACTTGTAAATGAAATTAAATCTGAAGATTTGGATTCCTAGATACGTCTGATACATACGAATGATAAATAAGAGCACCAAGAGAAAACTTTAACATAACTTGTGTTCTGCTACAATAGTTGGTTTAATCCTACAACAATGAAACAATAGATACTAAGTTGGCAATAGAGGTTACAATATAATTATCTTCCCAGTATCCTTCATCTCTGATGTCTTGTCATTAATACCTTGCCGAAGAAAGTAATTAAAGCATCAGAATGTTTCGCTAGATATTAGCATGTGAAGAGTTGAATATATTGATAAATTTTTACATGAACAACTCTTTCATTATCAAATTTAGTTGTATAAAGATGTTTCTTACGTTGTTCATTCCATATCCATACTTCTTTTTGATCTGATCAATCCCACCAACAACCTTATTATCTTCATTCCCGTTGTTTGATGAATTTAATGCATGTTTAGATTGGTAAAAAGATTAGTTTCTAAACATATCTTCCCAGTAATAAATAATTGGGATGAAGAGTTAATGATTTTGCCAAAATAGTCAGAACAAGTGTTCTGTACTAAAAAATGAGCAATATGCATTTAAATTCTTAAGTCCACAATGTAATATAGATGCCATAGTTAATGCTCAGTTCTAAACATTAAGATCACATCATGTTACCTTGCTTTATCACTTTGCTTTACGATTCCTTAATTTTTACGATTATAAGGGTCATTCATTTTGATTGATATATTCTTTTTGTAGGAAAAAAACATGCAGAGTTAAGATTGCCTTCAAATATTAGGGTATTTCGTGATTTGGTGAATAATCGTTTACGACCTTTGCTAAATGATAATCATTATGAAGACCTCCAGCAAAGCCTTTTTTCCACTTTATTAATCTACATGTTATACCTAATAAACAAGTTGCAGTCGATTGCTTGCTTCATGCATTTAATCCAGAGCATAGCTCATTCAGGATTGGGGGAAAGGATATTGTGTTCAGTGTTATAGATGTGCATAAAATAACCGGATTGCCGAAGACTAAAAATAGGGTTGTAATGGATGGTCGAGAGCCTAATACTATATATACTGAGCATGTATATTATAAAAAGACCCAGACAGAGAAGGAGGAGTAGAAGAAGGCCAGTAAGAGGAAGAAGATGAAAGTCGAGAAGAAGGATGAAAATAAAGATAAGAAGAAAGTGTGGGGCACACACAAAAGGATGGCTGATTTGATTGTGGATATGAGTTGGCAAACACCAACCATATAGCATGTGTGAAATTACTTGTGGCTTTTATTATTGGATTTGAATTATGCCCTTAGCCCGCTAACTCATGTCCATTATGGGCTTTTAGACATGCAAACAATTTACTTGCTCTTCGTGCTTATAATTGGGCTGATGTTGTGTATGAGCTACTTCATAAGGAGATGACGAAGGCAAAGTTGTTCATTTCAAAGAGAGCCGTAGGAGAGAGAGAGGGAATGAGCCGGATAGATGGGCGGGTTTGCATCAGTATTGGTGGTGAGTTTTAATAAAATTATATAGTTTTTTACATATTGATAGTTGTAACTAATTTTTTTTTCAGGTTTGGTTTTATAAACTAGTGGGAGAGCTCAAGTGTGAAATAAAAGAGGGTTGCTTACGCCCCATTTTTATTGAGAGGAAGTCTCGATCTTTCCGGCGAAAAGTGATGATGAGGTTAATTGAAAAACCAAAGTGTATTAGGAATTTCACTAGTCAAACCACTATATCATCCATTCCTAGTGCATCACGTCATCAACCAGTATGTACACTTCATTTTTCTATTGTTGTCTTGTTGCTATCAATTTATTATATCTTTCTCGAATGCTAACCCATTCATTGTATTGTATTTGTAGGCGATGATATTACTTCAAGTACATGAATTGCTTGCAAAAAATAGAGAGGAGTATGATGATCTCATTGATTTAGAGAAAAAGTTGATTAGTGGTGGTAATTGCGGCAATGAATTCGAAGACAAAACTGAAGAGGAAGATAAAAGTGGAGAATAAGATGAAAGTGAAGAGCAAGATGGAGAGGACGAGGAGGATGGTGATGATGCAAATGATGGGGAGGATGATGATGACGGTGATACTAATGTAGGGGGGAATGTCGTTGAGGATGATGAGGGTAATATAGATGAACAAGGAGTACAAAGCCATGAGGAGAAGAGTAAGGATAAAGAAAGGAGTGAGAAATATAGTTGTGGATCTAAATCCAAGAGGAAGGAAAAACAAGGCGAGATTATTGCGGAAGAGCTAGTTGAAGATGATGACTTCTTATCTATATCTTTTTCAAGGACATCATCAAGGGACATCAGAGATAGGACCCCATCAATTAAACGGGTCGTTAGAGATAGGAAATATTTACCCGCACATGCAAGACATTCACCTTATACGCAGTTGCGAGATCGTAATGAAAAGAAGAAGGACATAATTAATGTTTCTCAAATGCAAACGCCGAACATGAGTATGGGTTGTGATGATAAGAATGAAGTGATTAATGTTTCCCAGTTGCAAACGCCAGAGAAGAGAAGGAATGTCAATAGTGAGACTGATTTTATTCCTAAGAATTGCGATTACCTGACGAAGGGAAAGTTAAATGAAAGTGAGAGGAATGTCCTTGATGAATTTTGCAAGAAGAGAATGAACAGACATAATTTATCCCACACACGTGATTTTCCTTAGGCTGTGTTTGGGAATGTTGATTTGGGCTTGGATTTGAAATTCTGGGTATTTCAAATCCAAATTTCATGTTTGGGCTCAATTTTAGGCCATGATTTTAAATCAAGTCATTTTATACAATGGATTTGAAAAGCCTAAAATGATGGATTTTAAATTTGGGCACAATACTTGGTATTTGCCAAATCCTCACCCACGAAATCCAACCCCTCAAAACCCCGACTCCTCTTTTTCTCCTCTCTCACGCCGCTCGTGTCAAAGTCCCGACTGGAACTCGATCTCCATCTCCATCTCAAAGCTCGATCTCGATCTCGATCCATCACAGGTACCTCTCCTCTCTCCCCTTCTCCTCTCTCGGTTTCGATCTCGCCCTTTACTCCTCTCTCTCCCCCTTCCATCGAAACCCTAGATCTGATCTGACTTGGATTTTCTCTTTTGTAGCTTGTTTTCTCCTCTCTTTCGGTTTCTCTCCTCAAACTTCTGCAGTTTCTGATTGGGATTCAAGGTATGACTTCAATTTTTGCTGTTTTTTAATTTTTAAATTTTTTGATTTATGTCTTTTCATTTTGTTAAGTTGAATGTTCCTCTAGCGAGGGCAGTATATAGCATTTTCATTTGAGTTTCACCTCATCAGATCATAATACGTTGCTGTATAACACCTACATACCTTACAGAGTATCACACATGCTGCACTTATATACCTTCACTTGCTTCTTGCCCCCCCCCCCCCTCCCTCACACACACACACAACTTTTTTTTTACAATTGATGTGTTAGTACCCTCTGTTATTCAAACATGAAAATTTGACCCGAAAGCTTCCTCATAACGTTCACATGTCAATTTTATAACTTTCTAATCATTAATATTTGTTAAACTTACAATTAAGCTTATATCAACTCTATTTTAAAGTAGAATGCAGATACATTTAAAATGGAATTTTAGTGGATTTAATAAATTTAATAGATATAAATGGTTAAATAGCTCTGAATGAAAATTTGACCCGAAAGCTTCCTCATAACGTTCACATGTCAATTTTATAACTTTCTAATCATTAATATTTGTTAAACTTACAATTAAGCTTATATCAACTCTATTTTAAAGTAGAATGCAGATACATTTAAAATGGAATTTTAGTGGATTTAATAAATTTAATAGATATAAATGGTTAAATAGCTCTGAAATTTAGCATGCGAATATCATAGAGGAAATTTTGGGTAAAAATTTCACATTTGCCTGATAGAGGATACTAATGTGCCAATTTTAGACAACGTAAGCGTATAGAAGTGCTGTGAAAAACAAGTGAGTATATAAGTGCAAAGTATGTGAAACTATGAGATACTTAAATCATACAGAAAACAGAAGGAGAAAAAAGAGGCCACGTCAACCTATCTTACGTTTCAAAAAAAAATACCATCGTCGCATTTGACGGACAATTGAATGATCTAGCCTGAAAGCAAAATTTATGGACTTTCAATTAACAGGATGTGTTTGCTGGAATTATCACTACAATTAAAACCAACTCCTCAGATATTTACATACCGTAACCAGTAAAACAAGTGAATTAACATAGAAAACATGGAGAACATATCACATAACTAAATTAGGAGAAATCTATGGTTTTCTTTAAACATCAGATATGCACATTTCTCATAGGAAAAGAATCATGAAAACATCGTCCATGCTTCCATATGTCAGTGCATTTGATTATAAGCATCGTTCAAAAGTTATGTCTTTTCATTTATGTGATTAGTCATATAGGTCTGCTAATTCTGGTTTGTGTGCTTTTTTCTTTTCAGTAAGAACTCCAAGCCGCAAATTGAGCACTTCTTCAAGCTCTTCTGATTGCCTTCTCATCCGTCAACAATTGCAGGTAATTTTACTGTTATTTTAATTTTGTTATGTCGTGATTTCTTATTTTGGGTCATAGGAAACTTACATGTTTTGATGAGTAATCGGGTTAATAAACTGAATATATGAGTTCTTGGGTGTCGAAAGAGATATATATGTAAATATGTGACAAATATACACACATATCCAGCATACTTTTTCACAAAATAAAAGTTAAGAAGAGAAACACCCAGATCCACGTTCATGTTCCATAAGAACGCGTTTCAACAAGTTTGTCAATTGGATAGAAAGATTACCGTACGTCCAACCCTAACGACTATCAGGTAGCGGAAATGTATAGAATCCAAACTTAGGAATTCGCCTTTTCCATCCACAATGGGAATTCCTAATATCATGCATAAATGTCTTAAAAACTTGTTATCAATTAGAATCGTGATAGGTCATTTACATCTGATAGTTACTAGTATGAAACCATCATGCATGCTCAACTCCCCAGCTGGAGTTAAAAGTACTAGCATTTGTTATCAATTATAATCTATACTTATGAGTTCTCAAGATAAATTATGTCATTTATTGAGAATAGAACTGTTGAAAACTTGCTATTGCAAGTCAAACAGATGGGATTAGGTTGAAAAGTCCCTCAAATATGTTTTAGACTGACTTAAAGTCCCCTCAAATATGAGTGATGTTTTGACTACAAATAAGGCCATTCACAATCAAGATTAAAAATAAATACAAGACAATGCAAGTATTCTTTTCCAAGAGCCCAGAGTGTTACTATGGATATGAACAGCAAATCAAAAAACCAATTTTGGAATTTATGCAATCTTTAGTGTCATTTTGGAATTTGCGGCTGTCCTAAGTCACACCGTACTTCAAAAACCACTCCACTTCAACTATCTTGGCTTGCACACTAAATATCCACAATATCAACATAATTATGGATGACTCTGATTGATACCAGAAAGCAAAAACACTTGCCTTTTGATACTTTCTTTGGCTTCAACTCCACCATTTAAATTCTCAAATTTTTATTAAGTTACCTTACAAACATCCCAGGTCCTGCTACTCTGAATCTTTAAATCCAGAAGCTTCTCCATTTTCTACTTAAAACTTATTCTTTCTCTCAGCTCATTTACTGATAAGATAGCATAAGTCAACAACAAAAACATAGGAGCCTCATCCTGTATTTGCTTCATAAATTAAAATTATCCATGAATAAAGGGCTTAATGCCTGTCTTTGATGTATATCTATGGTGATAGGTAAAGTGAATCTATATTATTCCAATAGCTTTCATGCGAGTTACTCCTTTTCTTATGTAGCTTTGTCTCACCAGGTGCTATTGTTTCTCTTGTCCAAATCCTTTTACGATCATATCCAGTGTGCTTTTCTCATAAGCAGTCTCAGGCTTTTCTAATGTCAATGTTATGGGGTTTTTTTTCGCAGGTCAAGCGTGATATTGTGCTGAGAGTGCTTGTGCTTTGGTCTCACCTTTTTCGGTTCTCATTGTCATTTGATATAGCTTGCTGCTTTGTCGAATGATTGTAGCTAATATGTAAGGGTTAATTGCATATACTCTCTGTGGTATCGTTTTTAAATTGCAACCCCTGTAGTGTACACTGTTGCAGATGTGCCCTTGGGTTAAAATTGTGACTGTTTTTCCCTTGGACTTACTAATTTCTAGCTGAAGTCAAACAAAAGGATATTGGATTCGGTTTGATGTTATTTGGGCCTTCTCTGTTCTCTGAGCTTATTGCCAGAAGTAGAAGGAATTGTTTTTGTATGTTGACAAATGATTCCTGTGAAGTTTCATGAGGACAAATGATTCCTGTGAAGTTTCTTACTTTTGGTGTTTGCATTGGTGAGCTGATATATTGTACTGAAGGTGGTTGTGCTTTGGTCTCACCTTTTTTGTTTCTCATTGTCACTTGTTGTGGTGTTTGCTTCTATGGTGAATGATTGTGACTTATAGTATACTTTAATATATTGGCATCTGATGGTTTGTGGTTTGGTACATTTGCTCTTTTATTGGATGTCTTTGTGAAAGATACTAGTGGAGAGTATATCAAAGTGATGTCCAAGTACGTTAACGGAAAAATTGAAAGATACTTGATATGTTTGTAGAGTTTTCTTCATTTTCATTTTGTTGAAACTCTTGCAAGTTATGGTGGGCAATGAATTTAAAAACTTAGCAAATGTAGTTGTCATCACCAAAATTACCTCAATTTGTGTTTTTTGGTTACTATTTTACACATCTCCATTGCATTTGATGTAAACAAGATGAGTTAAGAGAATAAATTTTTATCAATTGTAAATTTAAATTTATGTATAATAAAGTACCCAAACACTAGATTTTGAAATCAAAGATTTCAAATCCTTTCATTTAATAAAGATATACAAACAAAAGATTTCTTAAATCATGGATTTCAAATCCTAAATTTAAAATCCCTTGATTTTAAATCAACTTCCCAAATCCAAATCAAAGTTCATCTCCTTCCTTGAAGCTTCTCTGTCGGACTCTTTTGTTAAAAGCCCTTGACATCCTGGCTTGGTAAAACTCGATGTGTTGTTGAGCCTCCAAACGCTTTTCATCCAGCCTCTCGAGCTCTTCGAGACGCTTCTGATGTTGTTCCTCCGTCGTCATCTCCGTTGCGAGGGCGATCCGAAGGGACGGAATCTGAATTTCCAGCGGTAGCACAGCTTCACATCCGTATACCAGCGAATACGGGGTAGCTCCCGTAGGCGTGCGTATGGTGGTGCGATAAGCCCAGAGTGCTTCACCGAGTTTATCGTCCCAGTCTCGTTTATTGGTCTTCACGAGCTTTGACAAGATCTTGATGATCGTCTTGTTAAACGCCTCCGCTAATCCATTCGCGGCGGGGTAGTAAGCTGTCGACGAAACATCTTCGATTTTGAACTTGTCGCAGAATCTGACGAAGGCATTGCTTATGAACTGTGGACCGTTGTCATGAATGATCCTTCTTGGCACGCCGTGTCGGTAAATGACATGATGCTTGATGAAATTGATGACGTTGTTCGTCTTCACTTCTCTAAGCGGAATCGCTTCAGCCCACTTTGAGAAATAATCTGTGATCGCGAGGATGAACCGATCACCTTTGACTGAAGGGGGAAAAATAGGACCGACTATGTCCATGCCCCAAGTCTCGAACGGCCAAGACGTGGTTGACGTGTGCAACTGCTCTGGCGGTTGATGCATATAATTCGCATGTATCTGGCAAGCGTGGCATTCTCGTGCGTATTCGATTGCGTCACGAACCATCGTTGGCCAGAAATATCCCATCCTCCTGATGCGATCATACAGTTTAGGACCGGGCTGATGCGCACCACATTCTCCTTCGTGTGCTTCCTTAAGAACTTCCTTTGCTTCTCTGTTCGAAAGGCATCGGAGCAAAAGACCGTCGTACCCTCTACGGTATAACGTATGGGTCTCGGTATTATAGAAGAATCTTGGAGCTCTTCGGCGGATTGATTCCTTTTCTTTTACATCCTCTGGCAAGATACCATATTGGACGTAGTCGATGATAGGAAAACGCCAATCTCGGGACTCAGACCCAATTTGAGTTGAATTCACCTCTTTGGCGTTCACGTTTCTATCCTCTTCTTCTTCAATCTCCGTACTGTATATGGGTACGCAGAGTTGATGCGTCCGTACTGTGACTAACAGCTCAGCTTCGGGAGGCTGTGCCAGTGATACTGCTAGTGCCGCCAGTGCGTCTGCATAAGCGTTCTGGAGACGAGGGATGTATTCAATAAAGAATTCTTCGAAAGATTCTGCCATTTTGATGGCTTCCTGGTGGTACGGGATCAGGTCTTGATTCCTGACTTCATACTCACCGCGAACTTGGTTGACTATCAATTGCGAATCTCCAAAAGCTTCGAGATATTCGACCCCCAGCTCTTTGGCGAAACTGAGTCCAATGAGAAGCGCGTTGTATTCGGCAACATTATTGGAGCACGGACTAGTCAACGAATAAGCCCGAGGCATCACGTGCTTTCCAGGGGAGATTAAGACGACTCCAACTCCAGAGGAAACTGTAGGACATCCCGGGGTTATTACTCTATTAACTGCCCTTGAGGCACCATCGAAGTATAATTGCCATACTTGTTGGTGTGATGTGGTGTTAACCTCGTGGGTTTCATCCGGCAAGTCATCATATACTTCTGCCGTATCTGTGGTCGGGTTTGCCGCCAAAAGGTCACAAATCGCCTGTCCTTTTATCGACTTCTGCTGCTTGAAGTGCAAATCGTATTGGGACAAGAGAAGGGCCCACTTCGCTAGCCGCCAATTCATAGAGGCCGGTTGCGTCATAAACACCCGTACTGGATTAACGTTGGAGATAACGTAGATCGTCTGTCCCACCAGGTAATGCCGCATCTTTTGCATCGCAAATACCAATGCAAGGCATTCTTTCTCAATCATCGGATATCGAGACTCAGCGCCTACCAAGGTCCGACTGAGGTAATAAACTGCCTGTTCGTGACCGTTATCATCGTCTTGCGCTAGTAAGGCACTTATCGAGTGGTTCATCGCCTTGAGATAAATCAAGAACGGTTTACCAGATTTCGGTGCAACGAGAACAGGAGGGTTCGCCAGATATGTTTTGATATCTTCGAACGCTTTTTGGCAGGCATCATCCCAGATGAATGATACTCCTTTCTTGTTCAGCTTAGAGAACGGTTGGCACTTCCCAGAAAGATTTGAGATGAAACGCCGGATATAAGCTAAACGCCCTTGCAATCCTCTGAGTTCTCTCAGATTCCTCGGGGGCTGCAATTCATGTATCGCCTTCACCTTATCAGGATCGATATGTATACCCTTAGTGGTGACGACGAACCCAAGAAATTTTCCGCTGGACATTCCAAGAAATGATTTAGTGGGGTTCATCTTCAACTGATGACTCCTCATGAGATCGAACATTGTCTTCAAATCCTTGATGTGATCTTCCTTGTTGCGGCTTTTCACAACCAAATCATCAACGTAGCATTCGACTGTTTTCCTGAGATGTTCTTGGAAAATCTTAGTCATCGCTCGCTGGTATGTGGCACCGGCATTCTTCAGACCGAAAGGCATCACCGTATAGCAGAAGACGCCGAGGGGTGTTCTAAACGCCGTATGCTTCTCATCCTCTGGATGCATCTTGATCTGGTTATATCCCGAAAATCCATCCATGAAGGACATCCTCTCAAATCCACATGTATTGTCGATAATGACATCCGTGATTGGGAGAGGGAAATCGTCTTTCGGACATGCTTCATTCAGGTTCCTGAAGTCGATGCAAATCCTGATTTTGCCATTCTTCTTCATGACGGGAACGATGTTGGCTAACCAGTCTGGATGTTGTTCCTCTCGGATAAATCCTGATTCGATCAACTTCTTAACCTCTGCCTCAATGGCTTCCATAATCTGCGGACGAAACCGTCTTTGCTGTTGCTTGACAGGTTTGGCATCCGGCTTGATATCGAGGCGGTGCATTGCGACATTGGGGTCGAGCCCTGGCATGTCTTCATAATTCCATGCGAAGACGTCGATATATTCCCTGATGAGAGCAATCAATTCCTCCTTCTCATCTGGGGGAAGACTGTCGCTGATGAATATAGGCTTTGGGTTGGCCTCATCACCCATGTTAATCTGGACTATTTTATCTTCAGTGGGTGGTTCTCTTTGCTCGAACCTATCGCCATACTGCATATTCAGATGGTGAACCCACGGGTCTTCCCATGTTGGCATTTGATCGTCGTCTTCCATGGTGGATGGATCGGCTGTAGCCATATTTGCCATTAGGGCTTTGAAAACTTCTCCCAGACTTGTATCGGAGTCCCACTCTGAAGCATCGGGAGAGTATCCCTTCTTGGCTTTGTTAGCAATTTGATCGATAATTTGCCAACCACATTCGTCATCTGATGAAACATAACCTAAGCCTCGCCCATATTTATAATAATCCTCAGGTTTACCTTTTGGTACATATACTGCTTTGGCTGGATTACGAGGACCTCGATCGAAGTATAAACCTTCTCCGAGTGTGAAATCGTAGCCCTGCTTTTCCATGAGCTTGCGCGCTTCTGGACTATACTTGGATAGATGTCGACCAGGTTTGTCATCATCTTCGTCTTCACTTAGGAAATGATCTGGTAACGGAGAGCTTTTTCCTTTACCGTAAATCACTTCTTTAGCACCTCTTACTTTGTTCGGGATGACCATGGTTGTTCCGAAAGAATGCTGGAGGTGTTCCTTCGTTACATAGGATGATCGGATCGGCATATACAACTCAGGATTGTCGTACAGCTCTTTTATCACATCATCAAGAGACAAGGAGTACTCTAAATCATCTTTTATTGCAATATCGGCAAGTTGCCAGTTACAATCTGCATCTGACGATTGTTCATCGTCAAGATTGATTACAAAGGGTACAATGTCATTTAAAACAAAACCGCCATTGTAATCAAATCCGGCTTTAGAATCAACTTCTTCTCCGCTGTCTGTGCCCTGGGCCGATGGTTCAGTATCGGATTCATTACCATAAAGGAGAGAATCGGTGAAATAATTCTCATACCCCTTGAATGGTTGCTTATCCGCGACCACCGTAATGGGTGAGTCCTTTTCGTCAAACGGCGTGAAGTTAATTAGATTGAACTTCGTCGGATATGAGATTGACTCCAACTCCCTTGGGTAGGGACATGGAATACCAGTCTTCTTTACCTTTTGAGCGGACATCAATGCGTTGAACTTGCTCTCTAGGTTTTTCATTTTCTCATCCCCGCCCGTATTTTTCTTCAGGAAACTTCGGGGAGGAATAACGGGACCACCCCCAGCATTGTTATCCTCGGTAGGACCA